ATATAAATATATATATATATATATATATATACTTAGAGTAAGATGAAACACTCTAAGCTAGCTCACAACTCAACCTAGATTTTAAAAATGAAAAAACCTTGACTCAATTCTGAAATTTTTATTAAAATTTGCATATATTATATCAAGATAAATATGGGATATTGGTTGTTTTATCATCTTTATATCTATTGATTTTTTTCTTGCAAAATGTATTTAATTAAAAAAAAAAAACAAAGGGAATGGATAAAAAAAAGAGTCAAATGGAGTAATATGTAGATTTATTGCATTAAGATATTAAATAATAATTTTATTAATATAATACATATAATATAAAATTAAATAAATAATAATATATATTCGAACAAATGAAACATCTTAAATTCGCATCCAACCTAATCACGATTTTTAAAAAAATATTTAATTTGATCTCAAATTAAAAAAAAATACATATTGAATTCAAACAAATCGAAACCTATCAAATATGAATTATTTTATTATTCATATATTTATTGACGTTTTCTTAAAAATTTATTTATCGATTTTTTTATTGTAAAATTTATTAAATTAAAAACAAAAACAAAAAAGTTGAAAGATAAAAGATGAACGACAAAAAAAATAAATAGAATGCCACGCGTATATTTCATTAGTTTTTTTAAAAGAAAATTGATCTAATAAAAAATTAAAAAGGAAAAAAAGTTGAATTTTTTATCCTTAAAAAATATTTATTAAATATAAATTTAAAAATATAAAAAAAATAACATATACGCATGGAACCGTAAGATTTATCTTTTAAGATAGATTGGTTCAAAGCCATCGATCATATAAGAAGCTAGTATAGTGTCGAATTTAGGTATTTAATTGAAATTCGAAAGCTATGGCTTGTCTAAAAGGGACAGAATATCATCGAGTCGAACGTACACTTATCATTGTCCACTTTTCTCTCTCTATGAGAGAGAAAGCCTCTTCATCCACAAGCAAGTCATTAGCTCCAAGAAAAGCAGCGTCACATGGGTAATCAACCATTTGCCATTCCCCTTTCATTATTCCATTTTGATGATGAGTAACATGTTAATTTGTTGGTGTAGCCATCTTCCTAAGATTTTGCTCTTTGTAGTTAAAGATTCATTTGACTTGACTTGCCTCTAACTTAGCCCAAACCAAACTCTTCAGCTTATCACCAATCCACCATAAATTTTCCTAGGCGTAAAACTCATTATCTTCAGCTTACCAACAATCCCAACAGTCGTTGTTTTCCAGGCTACACCAAAACTGATGATAGTTTAATATTTTTGTATTCCAAGAATCTAGAGACAGGAAACTACAGTCACATTGGAATCCAGATAGAAATGAGCCTAAAACATGACAGAGCACCAAAATAAAATTCAATTATATGAAGACTTTGAAGATTATTGAGTGTCCATTATAATCCAGATGAGCATGTCATTAGAGTTTGAAGAACACCAGAGATTGGTAGTGGTCCAGTTTTAAGGGGCGGCTCTGTCACGATTTCATGGTTGTTAGCTTTATACTTACCATCGATCAGCCCTCATAATTGCACATGGAATCTGCAGAACAATCATAGACTGGTTTGGCTTTATTTCTACTGCGAGTGGAAAGATTTTTGTATTAAAAAAAAAAATTAAGCAAAGAATATAGCTTTTACGTAAGTGCTGGCATGATGATAGTTGTAATGCACATATAGTTTTTATATATACTTCTTTTATAAGTTCATATTTTTAAAATTATTAAAAAATTGGTTGATTTGAGTATTAAAATCAAAGCATGGAGATTAATAATATTTTATCTTTATTAATTAAATTAATTATGAGAAAGATTGCAGTCAAAGAAAAGAGACGATGCTATTGAACAAGAAGAAGATGTTTTTCCTTTTAAAAAAAGTGGGTGATTTAGGTAGGCAAAGAAACTTACCAACTAATAAAGATATGATGATTCAGACCTTTTATCACTCTATTATTCTGTTATTTGATGCTGCCGTACATAATTGAGAATTTAAATTCTATTTAAATAGATGATAAAATTAAAAATAAATAATAATTATTATTATAATTATAATTTAAAAAATTACTGTAATTATAATTAAAAAATTTTATATTAAATAAATTTTATTAAAATTAATAATTTAATTTAATTAATAATACAATAAACTCAATTATATTAAATTAAAAATACGGTAAAATCTAAACCTCCTCTTAAAATGAGAAGGAAAGTAACGGTGAAAACACCTATGACGATGATGATGATGTAATCGTTAAAATGTACGGTATAAGCTAAGCTGAAAATGGTACAGATATTTTGCAACTTTTAAGATCACCTGAAAAAAAAATGATTTCAGCCTTGCAACGGTTAAGATGACAGTGGTCACGAATGATAGGCCACCTGTTCAGCCATAAATTTCCAAGAAATATTATTTCCTGTTTCAAAACACACACAAACATTGTCTCGCCCTTTGATATGTGTTTTCCAGTCCGTTAAATCCGTTTTATGGTAATTACATTTGAGATAGTTTCACGGGTACTATATAAAATTAACTACACTACCAATTCATATCTGACAAACCCTCACCTTTATAGATAGTGGGCAATTATCTTTATCTCCGCTATCACTAGAATATTATAACCTGAATTGGATTCACTGAGATAATATCACCTAATTATTAATTAATATATTTATCTTGGTTAACTGAATCATCGTGTAGGTCACATTATTTTCTAATACTCTCTCGTTAAACCCATATAATATAACCAAGAATTTAGTGGTGCCAATGACAAAAAAAAAAAATTAGAATTTTGCATGTGGATTTAATTGATTGTTTAATTATGTTTTAATTTATTATTTAATTGATTATATAAATATAATATAATAGTTAATTATTTAATTGAACATATGAATATAATATTTCATTATAATTGTAATTTCAAAAAAATATTTACTTAATAAGTGATATATAAATCCAAATTTAGTATGACCACAAGTTATTCTAGCGTTAAACAAACTCTCAGTCAATTAAAGACTCACATAACATGAATCAAGTTGTAGCATTCTAATTTGAATATTCAGAGGGCATCCAGAGCTAATTCACTTCTTTTTGCCAACGGAATATGATATGAGATGATAAACAAGCTCCACTAAAGGCCAAGGGAAAACAACATCCACCTAAGAAGCTTGTAAAGGGAAGTTAAAGAAGCCATTGATTTGGCAAACAAGATCAAAGTACGTACTAACTGATAGGACTATTTGTGATTAGTTGAATCTATTTATCTATTTATTTATTTTAATTAAAGATTATTTACATTAACAAAATAAATACTTCATAGTCTCATAACATTGGAAAGAAAAGGCCTAAATTTCTTTTTTTTTTTTACATCCGTTTACATAAAAGTTGAAAAACAAAGGAAGAGTCAATTTGAAATTTCTGGTCAATGGATATGAACTTTATAATCGAATAAAACCTTGCTTGACAGCCTGAAATTAAGCAACATTATTGGTTGGTGAACCAAGATTAACGGAAAAGCCAAGCCTAAAATCACCACCATGTGCTCGGGAAAAACATCCACAACTAGGCCAGCCAGGATTACCCAATGAAGGTCCATCTGTAAGTATATTCTTTAAATTCTAATAGTCAAATAAGTACCCAAAGCTAAAGCAAAACAAGTCTGACAATTGAGCTATACAAGGAGGTATGTTGGTTTACAGTTGCTTATTATTTTCCTCGTTTCTCCTCTTTGGGTCATCGATTTATATGTCTTTATGGGATTATGGGTTTTGATGGAGTAGCTCAGGAATAGGATGTACAAATAACTGTAGGTTGTTGCTCTTTCCACAGATAACCTTGTTTTGATTCTACAATAAGCTAAGTTCCTGCCACATAATTATACCTCAGCAACAGCGTCTACCCCTTATCAATTAAAATGCATGCAAAGAGTTTGCTTTAGTTCAAACAATAACCAAACTCACTACAATTAACAATGACCAGAAATACCCAAGTCCTCAAAGTTAAAGCCCAATGATGGCCCAAACCCTCCGGTCAATACCAGAGGAGCTCTAGCTCAACAAGGCAACAATTAACTCAAAACGGTTGAAACATCCAATAACAAGACCCGGTTAACTCGAATCACCAATGTTCTAAAGTGGCAGATACTTCTTCTTATAGAACTTTGGGCTTATATTATGCATCCATGACAGTATTAGGGCTTAGGCCTTCACTTTATCAATGGCTCATAGGCTTTTTTGGATTAGCCACTGATTCAGCCTTGGCCCAAGCCCTTCGCTTCCAGTTAAAACTCTAACGTCCAATTTCAAATCTAGCAGTCAAAATTAAACAATCATTATTTTTTCAATATATTAGGCAATTTAACTGTTATCCCTTTTTTTTTTTTTAAGCCTAATTGTTACCACCGTCCGAATTAGAAAAAATCCATACATGCACTCCAATTTAACAACAATAATAATAATTTGTTTTTTCAATTAGTATCAAACCCAAAGCTACGAAATTGCAATAATAATAATTTGTTTTTTCAAATTATAAAAAAGAAAAATTTTAAAATTTAATTTAATTAATTTATATAATCATTCATATTATAAATATGAGATTTAAATCTTAATATTATTTTTTATACTCAAATTACAATACTTTTATAAAAGAGAAAGGCCTATCAAATTAATCCATTTGCTCTAACCTTAAATTCACCCGAATGCAACCAATGAATAGAAATTGAAGCGCCTTGGATCTTTCCAATTCAGTCCCATGATCAAATTACATTACATTTCCCCTTTTTTCCTCATTTCCCCACTTTGTCCCGTCATCTCTAACCAATTATCGAAGTTGCCACTACACTCCGAATCCTAATTAACAGGAACGTGCTCAGTACGCTCTTAATTGACTCTCACAAATCCCTAATCATACCCTAATTTTATTTTTTGTATATACCCTTTCAACAATAACCGCCTGTACCCGGTAAATCCACTCAAAAGCAACCGGCTAATGGCCGTGAAATTTACTATCCCACGCCTCCTTCCTCCTACTAGGATTTTATATCCTCTTCCCCCGTTTAGATCAATAAACAAAACAACAAACATTGTTTCCTCTCTATTTCTCTCGAAACCAAAAAGAAAAAAAAAAATTTTAACTCGTAAAAGTCCCTCTCTTAAACGTCTCTGATACAATCACCAGAATCCTTCAAAAAATAAAATCCATACATCTGAAAATTATAATTTCTCTATATTTATTTTTTCCTTGCTCGAAAGATAGTTTGCTGAGGAAGACTATTTTTTTTTCTTTTAATCTTTACAAATTAGGCAGTTAAAAAAAATGAAAGTTATTTTTCGTTTTCTCTGTGTAGGAAATTATTTTCATTAGCGTGCCTTTATCTGCAAGTAATGTGAATTTACTTAAAATTTTCTTTTTGGTGGTGATCTGTTGGAGAGGTGAGGAGAAGGGAAAATTTCTTTGCTTGATGATTTTCTGTTTGGTTTTGAGATCTACTTTGTGTTGGTTTGTTTGGTTTTAACGATTGTGTTTTTGTTGATTGTAGGAATTTTTTTTGGAGATAATTAAAGTTCAAAGCATGATTTGTTGGTGAAAATTAAGAAAAATTAAAAAAAAAAAAGGTTTCTGTTTTGTTTGAAAAAAAAAAATGAAGCGGTCTAGAGATGAGGTTTACATCGGCGGCTCTCAACTTAAAAGACCGGTGGTTTCTTCTCGAGGAGAAGGGTAAAATGAAACTTTATCTTCTTTTTATATATATATTTTAATTTCATGTTTTCGTTATGAAAGTTAACAATGAGATTAAGATTCTAATTGTTACATGTCAATTACTATTGCTGATTTTCTTTCTGTTGTTTGGGTTAGTGGATTTGATTAGTGTTTTTGCTTGTTTAATTTTAGTTTATATAAGTTCGACCTGTTTCATAATTGTGAATTATCTTTGACCTTTGATGAAAAGATCATCTTTTTTGTTTTGGTTTAGGTCTCTGGTTTTCTAAAAATTATGGTCGGAAATATTTCATTTTCTTTAAAGAGGTTTGGAGATAGCAAAAATAGTAAATATTCTTTCTTTTCTGGATGGACACTTTTCAAGTTTTTCTTCTGTGAAGAGTCTATATAGTTTTAAGATAAGGTTTTAATTGTGTGTGAAAAAAGGTTAAATGTCCCTAGCCGTTGATCTGCTTTTTCAGGTGATAATGATAAATATTTTTTAATTTCATGTGGAATAAATATGTAATGGTTTACCTGAAGTGTTCTTTAATCTCACGATGTATTATGTTTTTGGATGATGAAGCCCTGGGCAACAGCAGATGGTGGGGGGGACTGGAGCTACTCAGAAACTGACGACAAATGATGCATTGGCGTATCTCAAGGCTGTTAAAGACATATTTCAAGAAAAAAGGGAGAAATATGATGACTTTCTTGAAGTAATGAAAGACTTCAAGGCTCAAAGGTCTGGTCATTTTATTATTATTATTATTATTATTTTACTTTTGCTCTTTGTCCTTTGGTAATGTTTGTGTGAAACAATTTTCTGATTTGTGGTAATGGTATGTTGAGTGTAGAATTGACACTGCGGGTGTCATAGCAAGGGTGAAGGAGTTATTTAAAGGTTACCGAGACCTAATATTGGGTTTCAATACCTTTTTGCCAAAAGGATATGAGATCACCCTCCCACTAGAGGATGAACAACCTCCCCAAAAGAAGCCGGTGGAGTTTGAAGAAGCTATCAATTTTGTGAACAAGATTAAGGTAGAAATTTTGTGTCATTGCTGAATTTTATGAGATAAGTTTTTTGCCTATAAAGTTAGTGATCTCGTTATTGGATTCTTGCAGACAAGGTTTCAAGGTGATGACCGTGTCTATAAATCATTTTTAGACATTTTGAACATGTATAGAAAAGAAAACAAATCTATCACTGAGGTCTATCAGGAGGTATGTTAGGTTATATTTTCCTTATTTTCTCTGTTTTGCCTTATTGCAATTTTGCATGGTTTTATATATTACCTAGAATGTTGGATTTTGATGATTATAAACTATACTTCCTTATAGGTTGCTGCTCTTTTCCAAGATCACCCTGATCTGCTTTTGGAATTCACTCATTTTCTGCCTGATACCTCAGCAACAGCCTCTAACCATTGTACTTCCTCTGGTAGAAAATCTTTCCCCCGAGATAGGAGTTCTGCTATGCCTGGAATGCATGCAGTGCCTGCTGACAAGGTTTCTTTTAGCCTTCCCTAACTCTCTTCTGATTATATATCGACAATCAAGCTAATATTTGATTTATGAGAATATCTGGCAGAATGATAGGACTACTGCTCCACATGATGGCCATGACCTTGGTGCGGAACACCCTGATCCAGATCATGATAGAGTTATGATGAAAGCAGAAAAAGAGCAAAGGAGGCATGGTGAAAAAGAAAGGGACAAGAGAGAAGACAGAGATAGGAGAGACCGGGAACATGATGATCAAGACTTCGAAAATGATGGCAGCAGAGACTTCAACATGCGGTTTCCACACAAACGGAGCGGGAAACCTGCTCATAGGGGTGAAGACTCAATTGTTGAACAATTTCATCAAGTTGGGGATGGCCCTGCATATGATGATAAAAATGCAATGAAAAGTGAGTTTTCTACTTCTCAGTTAAACAATGCATAGCTATGGCTGACTATAATAAAACATAAATAAGTGTTTATCATTCATTTAAGACATTTCTATCCTATAAAATATATTTTTAACATAATATTAATTTAATATTTCTCTTGTGGAGTCTTCTATGCACATTGACAGATCTATTCTTTATTTAAGTTCCTTTGTATTTTTTTACTGTTCCTGGAAGTATTATGAGGGAGATGTCATTTGTGTGAATAGCAATGCTTTTCCTGAATGGATGTTTTCGTTTCATGGCAACTCTCATCTGTATGATTTTCATGTAAAAAATTGGGTTATTGTAAAATTTTCTAATCTTTATCTTTTGCCTTTTGATCTGCCTTCTCATTTTACTTCTTTGACTTGGTTCATTCCATATCAGGTGTGTATAATCAGGAGTTTGCTTTCTGCAATAAAGTGAAGGAGAAGTTACAAAGTCCTGATGATTATCAGGAATTCTTGAGGTGCCTTCATATCTATAGTAATGAAGTAATCTCACGCCCACAATTGCAATTACTGGTATGGTTAATAGACATATTTAGTTGTAATGTACAAATTTCATCATAAGCTGTTATAAGGAATTCATGTAGTTTAGTTCTTTTTGGAGGGATTCACGTAGTATCTTACATATTTTAGTTGCAACTCTTTAAGTTTTATTATGTTTTTCAACTGAAAAATGCTCAAGGTATTCCTGCATTTTTTGAATGACTTAAAGCTCTTTGCAGAGGTTCAACATCACAGTATTTGTGCCCCAAAAAATCATAATTTAGATCAATGTTGTTTGCTATAATTCCTGGAGATGACTGAAATGAAACTAGTAACTTCTGGAAACTTTTTCTTGTTAGGTTAGTGATTTACTTGGAAGATACCCAGATCTGATGGATGGTTTCAATAAATTTTTGGTGCAATGTGAGAAGAATGGTAAGTATTTGAGACAAAAGCGTTAAGTTTTCTGATATAAATTTTGCATTGTCAGTGTTGACTAATCAAATCCTATTATGCAGAAGGCTTGCTTGCTGATTTTGTTAGTGAAAGTAAGTAAAACTATCTGTTACTCCTCTTATCAACTTTAGTTAAGAGTTCCACATAGTTTATAACAAATCAGAGTTATCACTATTACAGTCTTAACATCAATTGTAGATTCATGTTAGACAAAACTAATGGAGCATCATAATTGAACTGAGCTAACCTCTACTTTTGATTGAGTTTCAATATATTGCATATGGAACCAACTTGAGCTGATAACATTTAGTTCAAAGTTCTTAGCAAGTTATTATGCTTGCAGAGTTCTTGCGGAATGAAGGACAGTTACCTAGATCAGTTAATATGGAGGACAGGGATAGAGATCGAGATCGTGGGAGGGATGATGGTGTCAAAGATAGAGACCGTGAAACTCAGGAAAGGGATAGACTTGATAAAAGTTCCTTTGGCAATAAAGATGCAGGAACTCATAGGGTTTCTTTATTTTCCAGCAAGGATAAATACATGGGAAAACCCATTAATGAACTTGACCTCTCTAACTGTGAACGGTGCACTCCTAGTTATCGACTTCTTCCCAAGAATGTATGTAGTTTTTGCTTCTTACTCGTCCTTGTTATTTTGATCCAGACGATATGTTGGTGCTGTTATTAATTACTTTGCTTGTCTAATGCCTTGTAGTATCCAATACCTTCTGCAAGCCAGAGAACAGAGCTAGGCTCTGAAGTTCTCAATGAACATTGGGTTTCTGTCACTTCTGGGAGTGAGGACTACTCTTTCAAACACATGCGCAAAAACCAGTATGAAGAAAGCCTCTTTCGATGTGAAGATGACAGGTTGAACCTTCCCTTAGCTGATGATTGCATTTTGCCAATGCCCTGCCTTATTATATTTGGATGGTTGTTTTATTTCACTTTAGCTCTATTTGGGTTTTTTATTTTGTTTTATGGCATCACTTAAAGCTTTTGCTATAAATTTATAGTTGAGCTTCTCTTCTCTCTCTCTCTGCACATTGAGCTTTTCCTCTCAATTATTGTTTGTTTTGGGACATTCACATGAAGTTTTTACAAAATATTTAACACTTTTATTTAACAAATAACATGTATATAACAAAATTATACTGATTAGATACAATATAGACTAGTTAAGTTAACACTATTAGAATTTGGATTAAAATGATACATAATTTGAAAATTCAAGGTGCAAATTGTACATTTTAATTGTTTGTGTACCAATTTATACATTTTTCCAAAGTTCAGGTACCAAAAGTGTAATTAACTCTAATTAATTTGGGAATCACTAATATCTTTATTTTATGTTGTCAGGTTTGAACTGGATATGTTGTTAGAGTCTGTGAACGTAACGACCAAGCGAGTAGAAGAACTGTTAGAAAAAATTAACAATAATACCATCAAAATAGACAGTCCAATTCGCATCGAGGAGCACTTTACAGGTTATAAGCTGACTAACAATGAATAATTATCTGCATATGCATTTTATAGCACACCCTTTCCTTCTTTTCTTAATGGCTTTTCTCTTGTGAATGTCACTGCAGCTCTGAATCTTAGATGCATTGAACGTTTATATGGTGACCATGGACTTGATGTGATGGATGTATTAAGGAAGAATGCCCATCTTGCTTTGCCAGTTATTTTGACCCGCTTGAAACAGAAACAAGAAGAATGGGCTAGATGTCGTTCTGATTTTAGTAAAGTTTGGGCTGAAATCTATGCTAAGAATTATCATAAATCGCTTGACCACCGTAGCTTCTATTTTAAGCAGCAGGACTCCAAGAACTTAAGCACAAAAGGTATCTTCAGCTTTTTCCTTTTAATTAGAAAGTGATTGAGATCTCGATAATTGAATGTGTTGGTACTTAGGAGGATCATATTGCACTATATATTTAATATATTTGCATGCAATGGGATTTTCATTTGTTATAAATAGTCCTTTGAAATTTACCATGAATTGATACCAACAGAGATTACCGGACTACCATATTAAATGAAGCTGGTCTTGATAACTTTTATTTATCAGTGACTTCATGTGTACTCTTGTTCTTCATGCTTTGGGTAGTAACTTCATGCATATTTGATCGATTCTGGTTCTGAAACTACATGTACAGCATCTCTTTCTGAAGGTTTTTTAGTTGTTTGGCTTATTCAGGACAAATTCAGCACTTTTAAAGTCCTATTATACCGGAAATGTATTTGCTAATTGAAAGTCGTTGTATAGATTTGTCTCTGAGTAATTATAAAACTTGGTCTTTTAACTGAATAATTATATAATATTTAGCTTCCTTGAATATTATCTGTACTGTTTTCATTGTCCATTTTTCATATTTGTTACAGCTCTGTTGGCTGAGATCAAAGAAATCAGTGAGAAGAAGCGCAAAGAAGATGATGTGCTTCTTGCTATTGCTGCTGGCAACAGACGACCTGTTGTTCCAAATTTGGAGTTTGAATATCCTGATCCTGAAATTCATGAAGATCTTTATCAGCTCATCAAATATTCCTGTGGAGAAATGTGTACAACTGAACAATTGGATAAAGTAATGAAAATATGGACTACCTTCTTGGAACCAATGCTTGGTGTTCCTTCCCATCCTCAGGGAGCGGAGGACACCGAAGATGTTGTGAAGGCTAAGAACAACAATGTAAAAAATGGTAGTGCTAATGTTGTTGAGAGTGAAGGGAGCCCTGGTGATGGTACTGTTGCCATGGATTCCAAACATTCAAATCCTTCCAGAAATGGAGATGAAATTATTCCACCTGAGCAATCAAGTTCTTATAAGATGTGGTTGTTGAATGGGGATAATGGTGTCAAACAAGATGGTCCCACCGATATGGATCGTGTTGGTTATAAGAATGATTCCTCCTGTGATGCTCCTCAACAAGATAGAATGCAGCAGGTTAATCCAGCTAATGGTGATGAAAGATCAGGGGTCAGTAAACAAGCCAGTTCTGGTGAACAATTAATTAATTCGAATGCATCTCTTGCTGCTGGAGTGGAGCGAAGGAATGGAAAAACTAGCATAGAGAATACTTCAGGTTTGCTTAAGCCTTTAAAATAGTTTCATTTTGATCTCACGCTTGTTATTCTTTTGATTTGTCCTAAAATGTTAACTAGAACGCTGAGATATATTTTGTTGCAAGGTCTTAGTGCCAATCCTTACAGACCTGGTAACACTGCTGGTGGACCTGAGTTAAAGTCAAGTAACGAAAATTTACCTTCATCAGAGGTATGTCAAAATTCATTTGGGTATCAGTTTCAATGCATCCTTGAGATGAGGGACAAATTTCCTTTGCTTCACTATTGTTCTCAACAATATGTCCACAGTGGTTGATGCTCTTTCTTGAAATGGATACCGGAACTAAGCAAAATGTACTTTCATTTGACCATTTGGATATTTAAATGATCTTAAGGTTTATCATTTTAGACTTTGTATGCCTAATGGCTCATCTCCTGCTATTTCTTTTTTGGTATTTAATTGACTGGAAGAATTTCCTCATTGTCTGCTATATGACTTTATGATGGTTTCTTTGAAAAGTATCAATTACTGTTTATAGAAGATGTGCATAAAAGTAAAGCATTAGCCAGCATATTTTCTTTTATTGGACAGTCCAGCTTGACTAAAGTCATAGACAGTTAGTGGGAAGAAAATTGTAGGTTTTTGATTTTGACAGTTATAATCTTACTGTCAAAAATTGTGCTGAATTATATAATAATACTGCAGGGTGGCGATTGTTCTAGACCAATCTTATCTGGAAATGGGATGATGACAGAAAGCATTAAAAGTCACAGATATAACAAAGAATCTGTTGGACAACTTAAGGTTGAAAGGGAAGAAGGTGAGTTATCCCCAAATGGGGATTTTGAGGAAGAAAATTTTGCCGATTATGGAGAAGCTGGTTTGGATACCACCTGTAAGGTGAAAGATGGTGCAGCAAACAGTCAATACCTGAGACATGGAGAGGAAGAAGTGTGCTGTGGAGAGGCTGAGGGAGAGAATGATGCTGATGCTGATGACGAAGGTGAGGAAAGTGCTCAGAGGACATCAGAGGATAGTGAGAATGCTTCTGAGAATGGTGAGGTTTCTGGAAGTGATTCTGGTGAAGGTGAATCGAGGGAGGAGCGAGGGGAAGATATAGACCATGACGAACATGATAATAAACCAGAGAGTGAAGGTGAGGCTGAAGGGATGGCTGATGCCCATGATGTGGAAGGAGATGGAACATTGTTACCATTTTCAGAACGATTTCTACTAACTGTAAAGCCCCTCACAAAGCATGTCCCTTCAGCATTACATGAGAACGAGAAGGATTCGCAGGTTTTTTATGGAAATGACTCATTTTATGTGCTTTTTAGGCTTCACCAAGTAAGTATCATTTTATTGACGTCCTAATATTTCACCAATTAATGGATATTTGTTGTATAGTTTGTTCACCAACTTAGTAATTCATTTACAAATTTGACAGACATTATACGAGAGAATACAATCAGCAAAGATTAATGCATCATCTGCAGATAGGAAATGGAGGGCTTCAAGTGATCCAAGTCCTACTGATCTCTATGCCAGGTAATTTAGTTCAACTTTTGTTGCTGCTAGCAATGTTAAAAAGTGGTTGGTACATGTTTCATTTAAACTCTTTTCTGATACAGGTTCATGAGTGCACTGTACAATTTACTTGATGGCTCTTCCGATAATACAAAATTTGAGGATGATTGCCGAGCTATCATTGGAACTCAGTCATATGTTCTATTCACGCTGGATAAGCTGATATATAAACTTGTCAAACAGGTAATGCTAATTTCTTTTCCGAAGATTCACCTGTTCTTTACCTGTGTTCCTGACCTTAAATTTTCTTCTTTGTGGTGCTTGCTTCAGCTTCAAGCCGTTGCAAGTGATGAAATGGACAATAGGCTTCTTCAACTATATGCATATGAGAAATCAAGAAAATCTAGAAGTTTTGTTGATGTTGTTTATCATGAAAATGCTCGTGTTCTCCTTCATGATGAGAATATATATCGTATTGAATGTGTAAGTCTTACCATCTCTTATATTATTTTGTTTTTCTTATATTGGTGGTTTATTTGATCTTTAATGTAGAACTCTGACATGCACTCTGCATCTTACATTTCATGTTTGCAGTCATCCACACCAACTCGTCTTTCCGTCCAGCTTATGGACTATGGGCATGATAAGCCTGAAGTGACAGCTGTTTCCATAGACCCTAATTTTGCAGCATATTTGCACAATGACTTTCTCTCTGTTGTTCCCGAAGAAAAAGAGAAGCCTGGGATTTTCTTGAAGAGGTATATTGGTAATAGACAAAGTTGTTGACATTTACTCCATGGAGTTATCATGACATTTAAGTGTGGTATTTGCAGGAATATACGCAAATGTGGGGGTGGTGATGAGCTTTCTTCAACATGCCAGGCGACGGGACTTAAAGTAGTTAATGGTTTGGAGTGCAAGATTGCTTGCAATTCTTCCAAGGTATATCATATTGGAAATTCCTTCTCATTATGATCAAATTTAATGATGCCATTGGGGTTGTATTTCTTCTCTCTCTCTCTCTCTCTCTCTCTCTATATATATATATATATATATATATATATATATATGTAAATAGTAAGTTAATTAGTGGAAATTGTGCTGGTAGGTCTCTTATGTTTTGGATACGGAAGATTTTTTGTTCCGAGTGAGACAGCAGCCAGCCTCGAATCAGAACAGTCCACGCCATAACCGGGCAACGGTTTCAAATGGTGATTCCATCAGACTACAAAGGCAACAGCGATTTCAGAGATTTCTTCTGGCATAGACTTTAGTGGCATAGATGTGGTACGTCCGAATCCATTTGCTGCCATATTCTCTTTGCTCAGAATTAAAGGACGGTAAAGAAACGGAACTATATTAATTTCTCGTAAGAGTTAAATCCAATTTTTTATATTCCAAATTAAATATCTCAAGGTTAAAAAAAAAAAAAATCCCCGTACATTTTTGCTTCAGATTTGTTTGTTTTGTCAGTTGGCTTTTGCATGGGATGGAAAGAGTTGACCTTAGTGCCACAGTAAGTGGAAATGTAGAATCATATCTCTATCTCACCATCCAAATAAGAAATATTGATGAAAAAGGGATGAGGGCTCAAAAGTTATGTCGTGTACATAGAGGTAGTATCTGACTGGTGTAATACCTGAGATATTTGTTCAATATCCATTCATCTATATATTTTTTTTGCTCCCACCGACATCTTAGGCTCTTCTGCTTTTGGAAAAATATTTGATGAAACATGCACTGCATCAGTTCTGTTATTTTGTTATTGACGTGCATATCAGCTGTACTGTACACTTGCAAAAATTGAGTAAATTTTTTATTTTGCCGCGTCATCATATCATATAAAAAGTAGATATAATAGAAAAGGCAAAAGGTTAAAAGAAATCAGCAAATTAAAATTCAATAATAATCTAATTTTTTTAATTGATTAAAATTTTAAATATTTATTTTTTTAATTGAGTTTTTATTAGAGAAAAAATGATTAATTGTTTAGACAAAGATTTAATTAAGTGATAATAAATATTTAAGGGATTAATTGGATGAAAATAAATATTTAAAGATTTAATTGATTTGAAATAAAATATTTAAGATTTAATTGATTATAAAAAACTATTATGGATTTACACGAATATTAAATAGGAATCTTTTTACCATAAAAAACTAGGATAAAATATAGATATATAATAAAAAAGGGGCTCTATGCGTATCATATTTCGATTTCATGGTCAATGTCATCATTTTGATTCCTAAATAAAGAAAATTTTGTTTTTGGGAATGGCTAAATAAAAAATATTAAACCTAGTAAGTCCTTCATGTTGGCCCAATAATTGAAAATAAAAAGAGAACCTCGTTTAAGTCTTGTCACGTGTATGTAATTTGTTCATTAAAAGTATTAAATAATGTTTAAAATTTTAAAGAAATTCTTTTATCTTTCAAGTAAAATATACATTTATAATTTTATTAAAAAAATCGATAACTTTGCTTAATCAATGTATAACTTGACAATATTACTCAATAGCATAAATATAAGTTAATAGGGTTAGCGTCTTAGCAATATTAGAATTTGGGGTTAAAAGGATTTATAATTTATAAATTTAGGATGTAAATCATGTATTTTTCACCAGGTATCAATATTGTTCAAATATCAATTCATATATATATATTTAAAATCTTTTTACAAGGGAGTTGATTAAAGGGTGAAACGGCTCGAAAAGCCAAGACAAATGAAGAAAACGGACAAGGTCTGCAAGATAGAAGACGGGGTGATGAGCGACCAAATCCAAACTATAGCAGCTAAAAAAATAAGAGTTTTCGAATTGGTTTTAATGAATCAATTGAATTAATTTAATTTGATTAATTGATAGGATATAAAATTAATTTTAATTTATTATTAAAAATTTTTCATTTTTGGTTACTTTAATTTTTGAACTGAAATTTTAATTAAAATAGAATAAATAGTACTTGTAATCTTTAAATTTTAAATTAAATTTTATATTGATCTTTAAATTTTAAAAAATTTAAATTTAATTCTCAATTGTTCAAACATGTATCAATATAATTTTTTCGTTTGTTGAACAGTTTAAATTGACAAAAAATTTCGAGTGATATGATATATACTCTTATAAAATTGTATTACTAATAAGATTAATATTCTATTCTTATTTTTAAGCAAAAGAATTCTCGCCCAAACGAGGGAACAAATAATTAGAGAGACAAACAACAAGCAATCAAGCACACATCAAGCCATACACAAATGAAGCAATTCGGCAACAAACATTTAAGTAATTTAGTAACAAATTCAATTAGCCTCCAAACAAAAAATCCATTAAACTCATACCTAAAAATCCACTAGAAATTATTATTAAAAAAACCACCACTCAATCAATTTATAATATCCATTTTAGTAGAAACCCACAATACCAGCAAGAAAACCCAAAATCATCCATATTTATAATCCACAAGTAACTACACCTAATAATTGATTATAAGTTAAATCAGTTTTTAGAAAATCAAGAGTTTCAACCTAAAAAGTAAAATTCATTAAGATTAAACAAAGCCAAACACAAAAAAAAGGCATTGCAAAAGGAGGGTCTGGTAGTAAAATTTTCCAAAGTTTGATGGTTTGTTTGAGTTTTCCAAACAAAAAAAGAGGGGCTAAATTTGTTAATATTTGGGTTATAGCTGGGTCTCGATCGATGAAGAGGAAAGGATTTGAAGGAAGTTTTCTAGCATAAGCAAAGAGACCAACAATGATCACTGGCGATGTCAATAGTCAACAACGGAAGTGATGGATGGCTTTGTGATGGTAAGCATTGGTTTTTGGGTTAGTACTATTAATATTGATTCGGTTTGATGAAAAAGAAATTTAAAGAGAGGTTAGACAAGAAAAGGAAACTTAGAACGAAAACTAAAAGTTACTAACTTTGAAGTTTTTTACTCCATACGGTGTCATTTAGGGCTAAAGAGAATATGCTACACCCATTCAACCCACATGAAAAAGGCTCATAATAAATCTCTGTTCTTAATTGTAAGGTTAAATGTAATGTCACGCTAGTTTGTCATCAATTTTAGATAATACAGCAGATGAAGGAATTACATTGATACTTGTTTGGATAATTATAACTTAATTAAAATTTTTTAAAATTTAAAAATTAATATAAAATTTGATCCAAAATTTAGGGATCACGTATATTATTTACTCATTAAAATATAATAAAATTTAAATATAAAATTTAAAAATACATGAATTATATCATTTCATTCTATAAGTTATTAAAATTTTAATTTAATAACTTAATACTATGATTTTTAAATATTCTTTTAAATGATTTTTTAAAATTTATTTTAAATATAAAAAATTACAAATTAAAAATATAATTTAAGTAAATATATCTGATTATTTTATTAATTCATAAATTAATTAAATTAAATTTGAATGATTAAATTTTTGAAGTTGATAAATTTAATTTAATTTTAAGTGATTCAACTTAAAATTAACGGGCCTAGTCTAATGGTGGATTTTTAGTTAAAAACCGTTAACTGAATTGTTTATTTGATAGTCCAACTCCCCAAGGTCCAAGAAACCCCTGCCGAACTCTGACACTGAAATTTGTGGAACCAACAGCCACTTTTTTGGAGTGTTAGGTCCGCCTGTAAAACAAGCCACCAACCCGCATGATGCAGCATCAGCAGCAGCACCGGTTCCCTTACTTACCAAACTCTTTAAATATTATTTATTTAAAAAAATAAGATTTATTCCTAATATAAATAAATTATCGAGCACAATTTTTTAATTTATACAAAAAAAATGTTAAAAAAAATCATTAAAAGACCAATGATTTTTATGATTTTAATGCTCCTAATATATAATAGGAAAAAAAAAAAAGACAGGAGAGTCAAAGTAAGGATTCGGTGGCCAAAGCCAAACACAGAAAAACATTTTTTTTATTCCTACTCTTTATTTTCCCTGGGCATCATTTCACAGGGCCAACCATCGAAGTCCCTTCTTCGCCTCCATTTTCTCTGCTCAATCTTAATAAACCCTTTGCATCTTAGATCCGACCAACCTACGTCTCCTAATCCAACGGTCGATATGGCTCTATCGCGCATCGCCTCTTCTTCTTCCCGCTCCTTCAACCTTCTCAAACCCCTCTCGTTTGCCATCTCTCTTCGCCGCTCGATCTCCAACGACACCACTCCCATGACTGTCGAGACTTCCGTCCCTTTCATCTCTCACCAGTGCGAAGTCCCCTCACGCTCAGTCGAGACCAATCCGAAGGAGCTACTTACCTTCTTCCGAGACATGGCGCTGATGCGTCGGATGGAGATCGCCGCCGACTCACTCTACAAGGCCAAACTCATCCGCGGTTTCTGCCACCTCTACGACGGCCAAGAAGCCGTCGCCGTCGGTATGGAAGCTGCCATAACCAAAAAGGATTGCATCATAACCGCCTATCGTGACCACTGCACATTCGTCGGTCGCGGTGGGTCTCTGCTGGAAGTTTTCGCGGAGCTGATGGGACGCCAGGCTGGATGTTCTAGAGGCAAAGGAGGTTCGATGCATTTTTACAAGAAGGATTCAAATTTTTACGGTGGTCACGGGATTGTTGGAGCTCAGGTTCCGTTAGGATGTGGCTTGGCGTTTGCGCAAAAGTACTCTAAAGAGGAAACCGTGACCTTTGCTTTGTACGGTGATGGGGCTGCTAATCAAGGACAGTTGTTCGAGGCTTTGAATATCTCTGCGCTTTGGGATCTGCCTGCAATTTTGGTCTGCGAGAATAATCACTGTAAGGAACTTGAATTGGAATGTAATTTTATTGGTTTATTAAATTCACTTGTTTATTTATTCGATGTAAATGTACAGATGGTATGGGGACAGCAGAGTGGAGAGCCGCCAAGAATCCAGCATATTACAAACGTGGGGATTATGTTCCTGGTTTGAAGGTGAGAAATCGTTGGTTTAATAAGTTAATGTTGTTATTATTATTATTATGAATGACTTAGGTAAATGAGGATTTCAATGTTTGCGGTATTTTAAGTGACTATGACCACTAGATATCATAATACTGACTGTTGAAAACTGAAGAGTGATTTGAAACTACTTTCATATTGATGGTTTTGTTCTCATTATCCTTTTACATTAGAACTTAAATGATTCAGTGAAGTTTTAACAACGCAGAATCTCTAGGGCTTTTTACTGCTTATACTATTGGGTTCTTAATATGTAAGTTTGTTTTCTTCTTAGGTTTAGGGTTTGATGCAACAAGAATAAGAAAGGGTGTTCTACTATATCTATAAAGTGAAAACCTTTTGTTCAGCTATAAAAATATAATTTTTGATATAACATTATGTACTTTGAGATAAGGTATGTTTAAAATTCCTTGTTCTAGATGATAGACAATAATGTACCTTTTTACCATACTTTAGTTCTATTTGTCAGGTGGATGGCATGGACGCCCTTGCTGTCAAGCAAGCTTGCAAGTTTGCCAAAGAACGTGCCTTGAAGAATGGACCAATTGTAAGTTTATTCATCCAGTTCTTGACTTTTAATCGTGTTTGTATTCTTGTGCAAGCCATTTTTCATATACTACTTTTCCATTACTTAAAGGTGTGAATCAACCACTTCTGCTTGTTAGAACTTTGATTTTCTTTGTTACACTTACAACTTTTGTAAGATCGTAATATGTGTTTAATTTGTGTTATCTTGCTTACATCTAAAGCTATTAAACAATCAAAACCTCTGTTATGTAATTAATCGCACTCGAAGAATATGCTATTATTATCTGTTTAATTTCAGGGTTAAACAGACTCCATAATTACAGCAAACAAATTTATTCCGCCTTGTGCATGCTTAACATTATAAACTAATTCTATTAGTCACCTCTACGGTTAATACACTCAAAGTAAATGTTATTATTTCTCATCTACAATTTGACCGATAAGATTCATGTTTCATTTAGAAACCTTTCCTGATTAACCGATCTTTAGTTCACAACCTTTGAACAGCAAGCTAGGAAATAAAACTCTTTCTCAGAAATTGTGCTTGCTTCAAACTATTTTTTGCTTATGATACTCGGGCATACATCTTCAAAATTTGGAGTGCTGATAATTCTATCTTGACATATAATGCAACACGAATATTTGTATCATATCCTGAGCCTTAAAATGGGAACAAGGTCACACCTTGAGACTGGATTAGAAAAGTGCTAAAATACAAGAGATCAGCACATAATACAATAGATCTATGCAGGACACTTGTTACATTGTGAGTGGTATGAGTGTGGCTAATGGGTGTCTAACGCGTGTCTAGCACTCTGATACTGCCCCTTTTTAACATAACAGCATGTTTGGATTCTTAATAGAGGAATAGATGAGGGAAATGAAGCAAAAGTATATATAATTTTTTAGTTATTTGGATAGCATTAGAGAGGAAAGGAAAAGTGAAACTAGAAATTTTCTATTTTCCTTTAGTTATTTAGATATTTAGAGAAGTGATTTGGAGAAAAATGAAATTAAATTACAATTGAAGAAATATGATCACTTTTTGGCTACACGTTGGGGCATGTACTTGGAGAGATTTGAAAAGTGGATCAGGTGATAAGTGGGCATCTATAGCTTCTTTTCTTTTCTTTTGGTTATCCAAAGAGGAGAATTTATCCCTTTCTCTTATTTCCATTTCTCTCAATGGTTTTAGTAGTGAGCTGCTTTATCTGAAGTCTTTGTGTGAGGCTGATAAGTAGAATTAGGAAACTGGAAAATCTTTGTTTTGTAGCTATCAAAAGTTTGTAGCTCTACATGCTATTGGAGTTAAAACCTGGAAGCTTAAAGTAATCTATTTAAATTGGTAAGTTTATCCTGAAAAAAGAGTAATCTTTCTATTTTAGCTAGTATGTACATGTACCAATCCCACCCATTTATAGGCTCAAGGAATTTTCTGAAGCACCTTTAACTTATTGATCTCAATTGTCACCCTGAAATTTCAATGAGTCATCTGCTTTTTACCTGCATGTTCGTTCTATATCTGGTTCAAGATGAATACCACTTTAGGTGAGCTGAAACAGGGTAGAGAAACATTGGAAACAAATGCTTGGGAAGTTTTCATGGCTGTAAAGATGCTCGAGATCTTCTTGTCATATGAAAAGGTTCCAAACTTTTATAGAAAAGATGAGCATCTATGTTATGCTACACAAATTTTATGGGACTTGTGAATCTCCAATGTCTGTTACTTGTCTCCAACAGCTTCTTTAATTAGTCCCCAAGGACATTATGGTATGACAATCACTAAGCAGCTGATAAGCTGTTTTTTCTTCTGATATGTGATGAAAAGATGTTTGTGGGGACAATCTATTGGTCTGAGAAAAAGAGCAATATGAGGCACAAGTTTTATGCATACTTTTGGGTTTTCATTGCCATATACGAAGCAAAAGTAACATATTATCCTAAAATCAATTGGAGCTTATAGGATAATCCCTACAACTTACAAGATGCTTCTTGCTACAGGATAAAGTATAGTAGGTGCTTGCTGTGTAGAACTATTCTATGGCTCTCTAATGTGTAATTAACGTGGCATTCCGACCGGGTTTTGTTATTTCAAAGTAAGAAGATTCTATAAATTATCATAAAAAGGATTTTAGGTCCTTTAACTTGCATGGGATTTTGTTTTGGCAAATACTCGCATGGGTTTAATGTGGTGAAAACTATATTCTACTTGATGCCTAAAGATATATGATTCCCAATTTTGTGGGCTTATAAGTAATAATTGCATTGTTATCAATGGAATGATTGCACTTTGCTTTTTATCTGATTGTTTGATGAGAAATGTTTGTTTGCTGGTACATTGTGAAATCTTATACTGTTTTCTATATTTTATTGCATTAATTTACGTTGATTCTTGGTGCTTGTATGCAGATTCTTGAAATGGACACTTATAGGTATCATGGTCACTCCATGTCTGATCCTGGAAGCACCTATCGGACACGTGATGAGATTAGTGGTGTTAGACAGGTTGATACTCAATTCACATTACTTTTCCAAGGACTCATTTGTTAAATGATAGATTTTTTTGTTGTATTTTAATCAAGTTAATACAAAACTGACATTCTAGACGTTATGCTTCTAGGAGCGTGATCCAATTGAAAGAATTAGGAAACTGGTATTGTCTCATGACCTAGCCACTGATAAAGAGTTGAAGGTAATTTACTTAAGTTTCTTTATGTTACTATCAGCACTGTGATGTTGTTAGGAATTTGTTTATGGTAATAAAAATATCAAAATATGGAAAAAAAAAATTTTCAGGACATTGAGAAGGAGGTGAGAAAAGAGGTAGACGATGCAATTGCTCAAGCTAAGGTAAGGAATTTTTTGCTGCTTTCATTTTTATTTTGAAATTCTCTTTCTAAATGATTTTACTGAAGTTTAATTGTCTGATTTTCTTTATTATTATTATTATTATTTTAAAATAGGGTCTAGTTTCTGTATACAGAATGGATGTTCACAGTGTTGATTCTTTTTCCTTTTGTTGATTCCAGGAAAGTCCAATGCCTGAACCCTCTGAACTCTTCACAAATGTGTACGTGAAAGGTTTTGGTGCTGAGGTAGGAATCATTTGCTTTATACCTGGCCCAATGTTCTTCTGTGTGTATTTTTTGTTTTTGGTACATCATTTGGTATGGAGTATGAAGTCATCTTGATAGGATGATGGCAGCTGGCTCTTGCGGTTAGAAATAAGGGAATTGTTCTTTTTCCTCCCTTACTGATACTGATGGGATTTCATGATTTTTTTTTTTTAACTGCAGTCATTTGGAGCAGATAGGAAAGAAGTAAGAGCTACACTTCCATAAATTGAGACTCCTGTGGAGTATCTTTTTTTTTTCTCTTCACTTCAGTTTGACTCTTTATCCACCCATCAATCTTGGAAGAAAGAACAATAAAGGAGCAAGGGAAGGTGGCCAGCTCTTCCCAGCTATCTATTTGATTTTGCACTTGTATTTGTATAGAATACTTTATTTATTCTTCCCCAGTTTATGGGCAGAATTGTTATATTTTAGCTGTTAGTATTTTGGTTGCGCCCGCGTTTTACATTCCCATAATTAAATAGTTTGCTGCTGTGCTCAGCAATGTATGAATAATCTCTTCTGGGCTTTTATGCTTACATTTATCGGTATAAAGTAAGTATCTTGAGGTTTATAATATATATTTATTGATAACTTTGGCTGAAATGTCTTGGGTTGGGTACCTAGTTTGCCAACATTTCCTTTCTGAGGTGGCGGTTTGGTGGTGGAGGGGTGGGGTGGGGGGGAATATGCGGATGATGACCTCCGATACCACCCGCTTTGGGCTACGCTACCGAGGATGGATATTGTCCTCTTTCTCGTAGGAGAAATTATTATGTAGGGTTTTTTCACGAAAATTAAATCACTTTTCTTGTTTCATGTCATATTTATACCTAGGCACACTTCACAATTTTCATTAACAGGCGTTAACTCGGCCTAACATGAGAAGGGAAAAAAAAAAAAGAGTACGATTTGAGCTAAGAAGAGTACAGATATGTGTGATCGTTGTTGGACTTATTTCTGGGTTTGGAGTTCAGTTCTGTTAATTTCATTTTGTATCCTGCTTTGTAATTGCCTTGCTTGCTGCACACTAAATATTTGTGATTTTGCCTGACAATTGGTAAAAGAAATTAACTTTGAAGCAGTTTTTCATTTATAAGTTGAAAGAAGGGAGAATACTTTCTTTTTTTTTTTTTTGTGCAAAACAATTGGTGTCCTGTTATCATAATCATTTTCTATAGAGCAATATTCTCCGTGAAAAAGAAAAAAAAAAAAATCCAACACTAACTGATTCCCAAAGAATTGATCAAATTCTGGTCGAGCCAAGTCCTCCAGTTCATCTAAGAGTAGAATCCAAGTTCTTAACTTCCAAAGCACGAGGAGTAATAACTTTTTGAAGTATGAATTGGGAAATTTTATTGCCATGCTTCACTTGGAAATCAAATGATTAAGTCCTCTATAATCGGCATCGATCACCCCAGCCCAATATCTGTTGAATTCTTTAATGCCAATCCAGATCTTGGACAATACTGTAATGCAATATTATCGATTCTCTGTAGAATTGTCTTTTCCGGGTATAAACCCAACTTTTTATTTTAATTTATTATTTATTTTTCTGTTAACCGTGAGTTAATGTTCATGAATGTGGTTTCTAAAGTTTATCTTGATATAATGTAATCAGTTTTTGTTGAGCCTATGACAGACATGGTGATATGTCTCCTGAATTGGTGGGGAGTCATTGGCACGGGGTCCTCGTTAGGACCAAAATGGCACTGGCGTGGCACCGGAATAGAACAAGCAATGGTTGTTTCCCCTTTTTTTTGTGTGTGTGAAAAAAGAAAAGGTGTGGTGGGGGTTAAATTTTGCCCCAACAGTGCTCTTTTTTTTTTTTATATAAAGAAGTTATGTTTGAATTAATATTTGAGGAAGAGCATTTATCTTTATGTTGAACACAAATATTTTGCATTTTCCTGGACAGTTTAGCAATCGAAAAATTCCTAGTTCAATCCCTGGCGTTGGAGAAAACAACAATTGAGGGAACGGATAAAAAGACATGAGAATGTGGGTAAGAGAGCGTGACCTTAGTTAATGACAACACATCAAGTTATGAAGGATGTGGAGGAGCTGGTACTGGTAGCCATTATTATCCTAGGAAAATACAAAAGGGAAAAGAGAATCCTTTTACCAAAACCTTTCAATGTTGAAATCCATTTTTGTGGCTCTACTATTACATTTTCAAGGAGGAAAAACTGCCCTCTTGTTTACTCAACTTCAAACTTCGTATATAATTGATAAAATTGCAGGAGAAAGATGGGAAATTATTTATTTGACTGTGGCTTAACGGTAGCATAATCATATGTTCTACAATGAAATAATAGTGCTACAAATTCATGTGAAGAGCAGCAGCAAGAAACTCGCCTGTTTCACGGGCGAGCTGAAATTGTCACAATTGCCCTTACTTTTATCATTCAATCGACTCTCCAATCTTTGCTGTTATACGTACTCTTCCATCCCCGTTTCATGGGACCAACCAAGGCGAACAAGAGATCCCACCGACTCAACCACCAACTACGATTAGTTAAATTTGATAATTTTTAATATAATATAATATAATATAATATAAAAATATTTTAAAAATATAAAAATAATATTATTTAAAATTTTAATAAAAATAATAAATTAATTTATCAAAAACAAAAATTATATATATACAAATTATCTACTTATGTCAACTATACACTTCAACTGTTCTGGCTTCTATCAGAATTTCGGAGTATCCAATGCCAAATATAATTAATTTAGAAAAAAAAAAAAATACACCTACTTTCTCAACTTCCCCATCTTCCAATGATCAGTTAATCACCTTAGGCCATCAGATTTTAGCCTAGATTTACATGCTCTCTGGCAGGCAATGCATAACGCCGTTATTTATATGGAAACTTTTGAGAGGAATTGCTGTAGTTTAGTGTTATATTCAGCAAGTAGAGAATTAAAATTCTTGTTGGGGGATTGGAACTTTTAATTGCTTACCAAACGAGGTCTTGATCAAATAAACTCGAGCATTTTTATTTACAACTTGGGTTGGTGGCCTGGCCTGGTGCCTCTTGTACTCTACACTCGAAATTTCCAACTTCGGGTTCACTAACCACTTCTATTTTAATAATATTTATCTTTACCTTTCGTTACCTGTTCAAAATTAAAAAAATATATATTTGAAGTGTCCCTTCAAAACATGAAACGTCACCGACCAACCAACAAAACCTTTTTTTTTTTTTTTTTCTAGTTTCATTTTCCTTTCAGTCAAATGCAATGAATGCTAAGTTCTGTTACATAATTGGACCATGCCTCGAAAATGCAAGGAAATTTGTTACTCTCGGTTTTTTTTCTTTATGGTCGGTTCATTTTATTTTCCAACCCAAAGACTTTGTATTTTAATAAGAGGGTAGAAATGAATTAAATATGAATAAATGAATATATATTTATGATTTATTCGTTTATTTTTATAATTGGTTGGAGTTATTTTGTATTCAATAAAAAAATTACTTTATTCATTTAAGTTTGATTTGTTTAAATGGTATAATATTTGTATTTGATATGTGTTTAGCTCGATTAAATTAAATAAATTTATTTATGAATATTGAACGAATATGTTTATAAATATATAAATAAATATATTCATGAATAATAAACAAATCATAACTAAATAAATTTAAATGAATAAACCTTAAATGAACATAAACTAACCTAAAAATAAGATTGGATAAAGGAGACAAATATAATTTTATTTTTATTATCATTACTGAACAACAAAAAAAAATCTAAATAAATATAAACGAACCCAGAATAGATGACCTTTAAAAAATTCTTAAACGAATTTGTTCATGAATATAAAATAAACAAACTTTTATTTGTATTCAATTTGTTTAATAAATGAACATAAAATTATCATTCAAAATCATTTGTTAAGCTCAATAAATGAATAAAAACTGAACATATTATCAAACGGATCATTGAAATTTGTTCACTTACACCACTAGTTTTTGGGTTGTTGGTTAAATTACCATTGAGAGCATGAAATGTTAGTTTATAGTGTAATAATTTATGCTTCTTAACCTATGAAAAGTGAAGTTTTTAAGTACTTTTAACAATTTATGTATATATTTTTATTTAATTTGTATTAAATACATATAAAACATAAATATTATCTAGTAATAATTCATATGGATACATCAAATATAAAACATATATTTTGCCAAATGTAACTTATATATTATTTTCAAACTATGTTGTTTTTGTGTCTCTTTTCATATCATATCTTGTATCCTATTTGTTAGAGTAATCGCCCACAATGGGTGAGTTAATTCAAAAAATAATTGCCTTTGGGCAGTCAATGTTTGTGTTTTAAAAACACCAGTTTTTTCTTAAGATATAAACTGCCTTTGGGCTAACTATGCTTGTGTTTTAAAACACCATAGAAATGCCACCCATCTCCTAATATAAAAGAGAATGGCAGTTGGCCAAAAACAATAGAAAAGTGAAAAAAAGGTTTTTCACAAAGAAATAAAAATAAAAGGAGATAGACTAATCGGGCAGACATCGTATAACTTTCAAGATGAATTCTTATTTCGGTGAATTGAAGGACTTACATTGTGGATATGAACAATTTTCATATTGTGGTTTTGTTCAATGACCAACAATTCAAGTCAGGCTTTTGCTTCTGATTCTACTTAAAAAATAAGTATATATAATTATATTCATATATATATATATATATATATCTTGCATGTACTTTATCTTACATTAGTTTAAAAGCGAGGTTGGCTTGTGTTCTGATTCGTTTGTATGTTCTTTATAACTGAAAATATAATATGTTCTTGCATGATTGCAAACATCCATAGGAGTTGACATAATTTTTATGTTTCTAATATAATTAATGTTGTAATAATTCTTGGAATAAAAAAAAAAAAAGAAGAGAAAATGCCATTGATGTTTTGCCATTTTGGATCAATTTTTTTTAGTTTTTAGATAAGGCATCCAAATACCTTATGCAAAATTTCAAAAAAAAAAAGAATTATTTTTTAATAAAAAGCAAGCATTCAAATGCTTTATCCAGAGCATTCAAATTCCCTTTATTTTTTAAAAAAATAAAAAAAATTGATTTTATCTTTAATTGACTTTAGGATGTCAGATCACACAAGAATGATTGACATGACTTTTAATCACTTTTTTTTTTACTTGTGTTGACTCATGAATTCATGATTTTTTTTTTATATTTTGTTATAAAAAATCGTGACTATTTTTGTGAGGACTTCCATTGTTATGAGGACACATGCATAATTTCTAAAAGCTATAAGGCTGACGGTGGAATTGATGCAATACTGAATAGATCTAAATGATGATATTGATAGGCATATCATCAAGGTCAATGGCATGATCCAAAAATTGATCTAGCATGGCTGTATTACAATAGGAATGATCAAATCAAATATGAAATGTTGATGGGTACACTTTTGACTCTTTGACAAAAGAATCTTTTTCAAGATATTTGAACGTTTTAGAGAGTTATCCTAAGTATAAAACATTAATTAAAGATTTTGTGAAAGAATACGTGAGAATGGACGCAAAGAAGGTGTGACCCTCTTAGTCTGCCCAAGTCTCCATAATGGGAAATACAAAATTCATAGA